CACAACGATCTGGAGTCATTTTGGACCACTCCTCTTCACAAAACTGCTCCAGTGTAGCAATATTCTTGGGATGTCTGGTGTGAATCGCTCTCTTAAGGTCATGCCACAGCATTTCAATGGGGTTGAGGTCAGGACTCTGACTGGGCCACTCCAGAAGGCGTATTCTGTGCTGTTGCAGCCATTGTTTTGTTGAATGACTTGTATGCTTTGGGTCATTGTCCTGTTGCATCATCCATCCTCTGCGGAGCTTCAGTTGGCAGACAGATGGTTGTACGTTTTCCTGCAAAATGTCTTGATAAACTCTGGAATTCATTTTCCCATCAATGACAACAATCCGTCCAGGCCCTGAGGCAGCAAAGCAGCTCCAAACCATGATGCTCCCTCCGCCATGTTTCACAGTGGGGATGAGGTTTTGATGTTGGTGTGCTGGTCCTTTTTTTCTCCACACATAGTGTTGTGTGTTCTTCCCAAACAACTCAATCTTGGTTTCATCTGTCCTCAGTATATTCTGCCAGTAGTGCTGTGGAACATCCAGGTGCTCTTTTGCAAACTTCAAACGTGCTGCAATCTTCTTTTTGGACAGCAATGGCTTCCTCCGTGGTGTCCTCCCATGTACTCCATTCTTGTTTAATGTTTTCCTTATTGTAGATGTGTCAACAAAAATGTTAGCATGTGCCAGAGATTTCTGTAGGTCTTTAGCTGACACTCTGGGATTCTTCTTTACCTCATGCAGCATTCTGCGCTGTGCTCTTGCAGTCATTTTTACAGGACGACCGCGCCTAGGGAGAGTAGCAACAGTGCTAAACTTTCTCCATTTGTAGACAGTCTGTCTTACCGTGGACACATGAACATCAAGGCTTTTGGAGATACTTTTGTAACCCTTTCCAGCTTCTTGCAAGTCAACAATTTTTGATCGTAGGTCTTCTGAGAGCTCTTTTCTGCGAGGCATGGTTCACATCGGACAGTGCTTCTTGAAACCAGTAAACCCAAAACAGGTGTCAGCAACACATCCAATATCATCACACTGATTGGAGTCAAGGTTGGCTCACTCCTGGCTCCAATTAGCTCTGGGAGACGTCATTAAGCTAGGGCCTCACATACTTTTTCCTCCCTGCACTGTGAATGTTTACATGTTATGTGCAATTAAACCATGGCAACATCTAATGTTTGTGTAGTATTATGTTCAGCAGACTGTGTTCTTCTATTGTTGTGACTTAGATGACGTTCAGAGCACATTTTATGCCCAATTCATGCAAAACTCCACGTAATCCCAAGGGGTTCACATACTTTTTCTTGCAACTGTAGATCTATATATCACTAGAGGGGTCTCCGGCAGGAGGACAGAGGTAATGATTCCTCTGAATAGATCTGTATATCACTAGAGGGATCACCGGCAGGAGGAAGGAGGTCCTGATTCCTCTCTATAGATCTTTATATCACTAGAGGGGTCACCGGCAGGAGGAAAGAGGTCCTGATTCCTCTATATAGATCTTTATATCACTAGAGGGGTCCTGGCAGGACTAAGGAGGTCCTGATTTCTCTATATAGACCTTTAGTTATACCTCATTTAGAATACTGGGTCCACTTCTGGAGAGCTCACATAAAGATATTGATAAGATACGAGTCCAGAGACACGTAACAAAAATTGGGAAAGGTCAGGAGCGGACTGACCATTTGGAAACTTGGGCACTGCCCGAGGGCCAGGGGTCAGTAGGGGGCCCCATGAGAAGCCCCTGGTACCTTTTTCATAGGCTTTTTTGAGTTTGGGCAAGGACACAGGGGCCCCATGATCCCCTAATGCCCGGGGGCCCCATGAGTTGTCAGTCCGCCCCTGGTCTGGGGTAAAAAACTTATCAAAAGCGACGTTAGGAACTTAAAATGTACTGTCTGGAGGAAAGAAGGGAAAGGGGAGACATGCTTGAAACGTTTAAATTGAAAAAGGTTCAGGAGGGCAGGACTTTCAACAGAAACCAAAATCAAGAACACGGAGACTGGACCTCCAACTAACTGGAGGAAAGTTCAGAACTAATCTTAGAATGTACTATTTTACTGAAAGAGTAGTTGATGCCGGGAATAAACTTCTAGAGGTAGTGAGCCGGGCAACAGTAAATGGATTCAAACATGCTTGGGGCAAGCATAGATCTATACTCATAAAAAAAAGCTAACAAAAAAAAAAGAACCCCCCCCAAACAAAAAATATGTGGGCAGACTCGATGGACCCCTCTCGCTCTTTTTCTGCCATCACTTTTCTATATTTCTATGTAGACCCCATGCAGATATTGTATGAGGACCCCATTGCTGCAAGGTACACATGGCTAACTGCTAAGCCACTGTGCTGCCCAAACCTTTTGAAACAAAGTCAAGGAGCCCTTTCCTGCTTCTCCTTGCAGAAGATCACACCTATATATATATATATATATATATATATATATATATATATATATATATACACACACATACACACTGTATATATATCTGGTGGCTCCAGCCTACATGACAGCAGAGAGTCGCCGAATCCTGGTGCCATTTTAAAGCAGCACTCAGGATTCAAGGCCTATCTTATACTAATAAATGAGAAGATCATCTAATACCTGAGAAGATCATCTAATACCTGATACAGCACTCAGATGAGGATCAGGCTGTTTGGGGCTACCTTACCTAGGGGGTCCATAGCTCTCCTATCAGAGACCCTCCATAGCGTTCCACGAGAATTTCAAGGTCCAACCTTAACTCGACCAGAAGAGAGAAGGAAGGTGGCAATAGTATGAGGGATGCAAAGGGGGAACATTGCAAGGGCAACAGTGGTGAGATCATTAGAGAGGTGGGCCAGATGAGACTCCACCCCCACCCGCCCCCCACAGCCACCCCCACCATTGGTTCTTGGAGAACATCTACTCATCTATGGCAGGATATAGCACCTCCATGGATGGTAACAGAGAGCAACATTCTGGACTCCACTATAAATGGTATACATTGCAATATCTGCACAGAAAGGAGGAATCTTCAGCTTCAACCACAGTCAGAGTATGGGCCACTGGAGCCCATAGCCCATTGGCCACAAGAGTCCAACTGAAATACAGTAAAGTGTGTTCCAGGAACAACGGCATTCGAAAAATTACTAATAAAGTATCAATATCACAGATCAGCCCAGACTGTACATACCGCATACACTCTTTGGTCAAAAGTCGGTGAACTCCTGGCCATCTCACCTATTTTCAGGGCTTAGTCTACAGCAGAGATACTCGTAGACCTGGCATTCCTGCCAGTACCTTGCATGGCCGCAGAAATGCACACTGGTGAAAAGTCTATGTGCATTGGTGCACAGACGTGAGCCAGAACACGCATGCGTACTGGCGCATAGTTACACACGCATGAGCCCAGTTTGGTGCCAGACAGCCTTTATAAGGAAGCCCATCACTCCCTCAAATTGCTGGTTGATCTCTGGCTCCTCAGTACCTTTGTCTGTATTCCCTTGCTACTGTGATCTGCTGTTACCAATTTGGCTGGTTCCTGGACCTGTCTTCTCTGCCTGACTCCTGATCTGACCCTGGCTTGGCTAACGGATATTCTCACCTGCTCTTCTGATCTGACCCCGGCTTGGCTAATGGATATTCTAACTTGCTCTCCTGTGTATGACCCCGGCTATCCTATTGACTACGTCTGCTCCAATCTCCACATGGCATCTGACCTTGGCTTTGAACCAACTACTCTGTGGTCCTCTGCTACTCTGAAGGCCTGTGTACCTGTCATGGGCACCACCTGTCTGCAGACACCATTCCAGTGCATCAGCTGTGCTCCTGGGTATACCTCTGACAAGCACTCCTACAGGCGACCGGTGCTACTTTGGGCCTGACTCCTTCTGTCCCATATCCAGGGGAGTCTGGAACTTAACCGCAAGGGAAGCCCTCTCTCCACTGGCCTCTAACACCAGGTACATGATACCTATACCAGCTGGTTGGACATCCCATTCTAAAACTATGACCATTAATATGAAGTCCGCTCTCCCCCATGGCCATTAATAAAGAGTTCCCCCTCCCCCCATGGCAATTAATATGCAGTCCCCTCCTCCCCCCTAGCTTTTAATATGGAGTTGCCCCCTTTTGTAGCTATAACATACCCCATTCTTTTGGGAAGGTTTCCACAAGATTTTGGAGGGTGTCTGTGAGAATTTGTGCCCATTTGTGAGGTCAGGTATTGATGTTAGATGAGAAGACCTGGATCACTAGCAGCATTCCAATTCATCCCAAAGGTGTTCAGAAGATGGTTGAGGTAAGGACTCTGGTGCAGAACACTCTCTCCTCACACCAAACTGGTCATCCCATGTCTTTTTGGAGCTGGTCCAAAATGGTCTACCCTTGTCTTTATAGAGCTGGTCCACACTGGTCAACCCTTGTCTTTATGGAGCTGGTCCAAAGTGGTCAACCCATGTCTTTATGGAGCTGGTCCACACTGGTCAACCCATGTCTTTATGGAGCTGGTCCACACTGGTCAACCCATGTCTTTATGGAGCTGGTCCACACTGGTCAACCCATGTCTTTATGGAGCTGGTCCAAAGTGGTCAACCCTTGTCTTTATGGAGCTGGTCTAAAGTGGTCAACCCATGTCCCTATGCAGCTGGTCCAAACTGGTCAAACCATGTCTTTATGGAGTTTGTCCACAGTGGTCAACCCTTGTCTTTATGGATTTGGTCCAAACTGGTCAAACCATGTCTTTATGGAGCTGGTCCACACTGGTCAGACCATGTCTTTATGGAGCTGGCTTTGTACCCAGGGCACAGTGATGGTGGAACAGAAAATGGTCGTCACCAAACTGTTACCACAAGGCTGGAAAAGCACAATTGTCTACAATGTCTTGGTATGATGGAGTATCACCAGGACCTTTCACTGGCAACACCTGAACGCCATCATCGGAGAGGGGGGGCATATAGTGTTTTTGGTGGTATGAGCAGAGGACATGATTATAATACAGTATATTGACAAGCTTAGTTTGCGGTCACTTACCTGCAGTGGGGTCATAGGAGGGGTGTGGGACGGGCCCAGGGGCGATGGGCATAGGGAACAGGTAGCCCTCTATGCAGTGCTTGGGATGTGCCTGGCTGGCTGGAAGAGAACAGATCATAATTTAAGAATTAATCGATAAATACATGAACCCATACATGACCCCGACTGACCACACAGAGATCATTTCTACCCATTGTCAGGTTTCTCTAGAATGGTGCGAGTATTCTATACAAACCTGAATCAAAATGATTCAGCTGGTCTCCTGGGTATTTATCTGGGGTGTGTATAAAGTAAAGAAGATCTACGGCTCTCACTGAAATGCAGGATAGTAATTTATAAATGAGGTGGCGCTGAGATAAAACCAATAACTGGGTAAACTGCTGAGATAAAACCAATAACTGAGTAAAGTGCCGAGATAAAACCAATAACTGGGTAAACTGCCGAGATAAAACGAATGACTAGGTAAACTGCCGAGATAAAACCAATGGCTGGGTAAATTGCTTAGAAATTGTTGAAGAAAATATATAAAAACAGCAGAAGATTCCCTGACAGTAGATGGTGCAACTTCCATGCAGCCTGTTCAGGATCTCTAGAGATGTGGTTTCAGGTAGATCAGGGCAAGAAGAGATACTGGAACTGTGATTGGCTGAGGACCTTTTACTGTGACCTAACCTGAAGAGTACCTATGCTTACAGCAGAGCTAGAAAGCTCCACCCAGAATTTTATAGCAAACATGTTAGGGGGTGTTAGATCAGTGCTTAGTTTGGCCACTAGTTGGCACCCTTCCTCAAAGTTATATAAAGTGGGTTGGGTATGTGGGTGTTAGACCAGTGCCTTGTTTGGCCACTAGGTGGTGTAATGTCCCCAGTGCTATATATATATATATATATATATATATATATATATATATATATATATATATGAATTAGGTAAGGGGGTGCTAGACCAGTTTCTAGTTTGGCCACTCGATGGTGTCCATCCTCAAAATTATATATAGTAGGTTGGGTAAGGGGGTGTTAGACCAGTGTCCTAGTTTGGCCACTAGGTGGTGCACTGTCCCTGTTACTTTATATAGTGGATTGGGTAAGGGGGTGTTAGACCAGTGCCTGCTTTGGCCACTCGGTAGCGTCCTTCCTCAACATTATACATAGTAGGTTGGGTAAGGGGGTGTTAGACCAGTTGAAATACTGGCTACTGGGTGGAGCCCTTCCCCAAACTTATATATAGTGGGTTGGGTTGGATAGTGGGATGTTTAGAGATGAGTGGAGATAGTGGCTGGCCCCTGTGGGACTAGGTGGGGCCCTTTTTAGAGATGGAGTGCTACTGCAAGAAAATGGTGTTTTCTCAGATGCCCCCGGAGGACTTAACAGTGCACAGCACAGGTCTAAAGATGTCTTGGCCCCGTCTACAAACACCTCCTGGCTGCAGATTTAGGATTCATCTGGAGATACCCTGGAGCCACCCAAACCCTGGGGCCTCTCTGTGATGTAGAAAATGTAATTTTTGGGAAGGAATTTTGGAGATAAAACAACATCCCCCCCCCCCCCCACACACACACACATCAGGCCCAGGGGGCAAAGTGGCCTCTACTTCAACTACCTCCTCCCCAGACACCAGGCCCAGGGGGCAAAGTGACCTCTACTTCAACTACCTCCTCTCCAGACATCAAGTCCAGGGGCAAAGTGGCCTCTATTTCATCTACCTCCTCCCCAGACACCAAGCTCAAGGGGCAAAGTGGCCTCTATTTCATCTACCTCCTCCCCAGACACCAAGCTCAAGGGGCAAAGTGGCCTCTACTTCATCTACCTCCTCCCCAGATACCAAGCCCAGGGGGCAAAGTGACCTCTACTTCAACTACCTCCTCCCCCCAGACACCAAGTCCAGGGGGCAAAGGGGCCTCTACTTCAGCTACCTCCTCTCCAGACACCAAGTCCAGAGGGCAAAGTGGCCTCTACTTCATCTACCTCCTCCCCAGCCACCAAGCTCAGGGGGCAAAGGGGCCTCTACTTCAGCTACCTCCTCCCCAGAGACCAAGCCCAGGGGTGAAAAAGGCCTCTACACCAACTACCTCCTCCCCAGACACCAGGTCCAGGGGGCAAAGAGACCTCTTTATCAGGTCCAACCCGGGCAGTAGGCCTAGAAGACAAAGGACTATGCAAAACTACATGAAGAAAAGCCTGGAAGGCTAAGGACCATTTTAGAAGGCCTTCTGGAATATGTATCCCCTCCCCCGCTCAAATCATTAGTGACAAACCTCCCAGTGATTGGCCGTGGGCCAAGTGAGATACAAATTCATATTCTATAACATTGTATCTTCTTGGAGAACATTCCCCAGGAGCAGGCAGAAGTAATCAATGCTCTACATCAGGGGTCTCCAAACTTTCTAAATAAGAGGCACTTTATTGTCCTTCAGATTTTAGGGGGGGCTGGACTGTGCATAGCTGTGTATGAGTGGGAATTTTCATGGCATCAGTAGGAGGAGTATTACCCCATCATTGGTGTCAGTGGGAGGAATAGTGCCCCATCATTGGGGTCAGTGGGAGGAATAGTGCCCCATCATTGGTGTCAGTGGGAGGAATAGTGCCCCATCATTGGTGTCAGTGAGAGGAATAGTGCCCCATCATTGGTGTCAGTGGGAGGAATAGTGCCCCATCATTGGTGTCAGTGGGAGGAATAGTGCCCCATCATTGGTGTCAGTGGGAGAATAGTGCCCCATCATTGGTGTCAGTGGGAGGAATAGTGCCCCATCATTGGTGTCAGTGGGAGGAATAGTGTCCCATCATTGGTGTCAGTGGGAGGAATAGTGCCCCATCATTGGTGTCAGTGGGAGGAATAGTGCCCCATCATTGGTGTCAGTGGGAGGAATAGTGTCCCATCATTGGTGTCAGTGGGAGGAATAGTGCCCCATCATTGGTGTCAGTGGGAGGAATAGTGCCCCATCATTGATGTCAGTGGGAGGAATAGTGCCCCATCATTGGTATCAGTGGGAGGAATAGTGTCCCATCATTGGTGTCAGTGGGAGGAATAGTTCCCCATCATTGGTGTCAGTGGGAGGAATAGTTCCCCATCATTGGTGTCAGTGGGAGGAATAGTGCCCCATCATTGGTATCAGTGGGAGGAATAGTGCCCCATCATTGGTGTCAGTGGGAGGAATAGTGTCCCATCATTGGTGTCAGTGGGAGGAATAGTGCCCCATCATTGGTATCAGTGGGAGGAATAGTGCCCCATCATTGGTGTCAGTGGGAGGAATAGTGTCCCATCATTGGTGTCAGTGGGAGGAATAGTGCCCCATCATTGGTGTCAGTGGGAGGAATAGTGCCCCATCTAGGCTTAAAAAAAAGTCAACAAACGCAGAAAAATCAGAGCTCAGGCCTACCTACTAAATCTGGACAGGGACACACCGGCTTATGCCACGGTTCCTACACCGGCAGCGGTAGGATTTGTGGTGCTCCAGATCTGACACCGATTTCCATCCATTGGATCTGGATGATCCAGGAGGAGTCCTCTGCGGACACTTTGTATGGAGGATAATGAGGATCAGGGGACACTTCTATTCACATGGAACTGAAATAAAATGAAACCTTACTGAACCAGAAGTTCCAGATGGTCTCCTGGAATTCCTCTCCGTTGAACCAACATCTCCAGAAGAATCCCTCGTGGTGGAAGTAGAGGGGGGCGTGGCCGAGCTGCATTTCCGTATCGTTCTTCAAGGACAAAGAAAAAGAGATTACTTTAAAAAAGTTATTATAGGGAGAGCTCTGACTCCTCCCACCACACAGGGAGCGGCAGACAGTTACTTCTCATCTATAGTCTATGGGTGATCCTTCAACCCCCCCTCTGGCACCCCCCTCAGACTTCCACAGGTTTACAGGCTCCTCCCCTCCAGTCTTGCACAGGTGTACCGGCTCCTCCCCTCCAGTCTTCCACAGGTGTACAGGCTCCTCCCCTCCAGTCTTGCACAGGTGTACCGGCTCATCCCCTTCAGTCTTGCACAGGTGTACCGGCTCCTCCCCTTAAGTCTTGCACAGAGGTACGGCTCCTCACCTTCAGTCTCGCACAGGTGTACCGGCTCCTCCCCTCCAGTCTTGCACAGGTGTACTGGCTCCTCCCCTTCAGTCTTGCACAGGTGTAGCGGCTCCTCCTCTTCAGTCTTGCACAGGTGTATCGGCTCCTCCCCTTCAGTCTTGCACATTTGTACTGGCTCCTCCCCTTCAGTCTTGCACAGATGTACGGCTCCTCCCCTTCAGTCTTGCACAGATGTACGGCTCCTCCCCTTCAGTCTTGTATAGATGTACGGCTCCTCCCCTTCAGTCTTGTGCAGGTGTACCGGCTCCTCCCCTGAACTGAAACGACTTCCTCTGATGTCACTGGACACTGTGCAGCTTCTCCTTTCACTATCCAGCCACAGGTTGGGGAATAGACCTGGGCTCAAAGGAAGTGGGTTGAATAATGCTGGCCATCAGACCGAGAACATCTAGTGTCAGAGTATAGTACTATCACCGCCATACCAGCATCGTGATCACCGCCATACCCCATACCAGCGTCCTGATCACCGCTATACGCCATACCAGCGTCCTGATCACCGCCATACCAGCATCGTGATCACCGCTATACCCCCATACCAGCGTCCTGCTCACCGCCATACCTCATACCAGAATCCTGATCACCTCCATACCTCATACCAGAATCCTGATCACCCCCATACCTCATACCAGAATCCTGATCACCTCCATACCTCATACCAGAATCCTGATCACCTCCATACCTCATACCAGCGTCCTGATCACCACCATACCTCATACCAGCGTCCTGATCACCACCATACCCCATACCAGCATCCTGATCACCTCCATACCTCATACCAACATCCTGATCACCGCCATACCCCATACCAGCGTCCTGATCACCGCCATACCCCATACCAGCATCCTGATCACCGCCATACCCCATACCAGCGTCCTGATCACCGCCATACCCCATACCAGCGTCCTGATCACCTCCATACCCCATACCAGCGTCCTGATCACCACCATACCCCATACCAGCGTCCTGATCACCTCCATACCTCATACCAACATCCTGATCACCACCATACCCCATACCAGCGTCCTGATCACCCCCATACCCCATACCAGCGTCCTGATCACCCCCATACCCCATACCAGCGTCCTGATCACCTCCATACCCCATACCAGCGTCCTGATCACCATCATACCCCATACCAGCGTCCTGATCACCACCATACCCCATACCAGCGTCCTGATCACCTCCATACCTCATACCAACATCCTGATCACCACCATACCCCATACCAGCATCCTGATCACCTCCATACCCCATACCAGCGTCCTGATCACCTCCATACCTCATACCAGCGTCCTGATCACCACCATACCCCATACCAGCGTCCTGATCACCTCCATACCCCATACCAGCGTCCTGATCACCTCCATACCCCATACCAGCATCCTGATCACCACCATACCCCATACCAGCGTCCTGATCACCCCATACCCCATACCCCATACCAGATCCTGATCACCGCCATACCCCATACCAGCGTCCTGATCACCTCCATACCCCATACCAGCGTCCTGATCACCTCCATACCCCATACCAGCGTCCTGATCACCCCCATACCCCATACCAGCATCCTGATCACTGCAATATCCCATACCAGTGACATGATCACCTCCATACCCCATACCAGTGACATGATCACCTCCATACCCCATACCAGCGTCCTGATCACCGCTATACGCCATAGCATCGTCCTGAACACCCCATATCTCATACCAGCGTCCTGATCACCACCATACCCCATACCAGTGTCCTGATCACCTCCATACCCCATACCAGCGTCCTGATCACCTCCATACCCCATGCCAGCGTCCTGATCACCTCCATACCCCATACCAGCGTCCTGATCACCTCCATACCCCATACCAGCATCCTGATCACCTCCATACCCCATACCAGCGTCCTGATCACCTCCATACCCCATACCAGCGTCCTGATCACCTCCATACCCCATACCAGCGTCCTGATCACCTCCATACCCCATACCAGCGTCCTGATCACCACCATACCCCATACCAGCATCCTGATCACCGCCATACCCCATACCAGTGTCCTGATCACCTCTATACCCCATACCAGCATCCTGATCACCGCCATACCCCATACCAGCATCCTGATCACCCGCATACCCCATATCAGCTTCGTGATCACCTCCATACCCCATACCAGCGTCCTGATCACCCCCATACCAGAGTCCTGATCACCCCCCATACCAGAGTCCTGATCACCCCCATACCAGCGCCCTGATCACCACCATACCCCATACCAGTGCCCTGATCACCACCATACCCCATACCAGCGTCCTGATCACCTCCATACCCCATACCAGCGTCCTGATCACCGCCATACCCCATACCAGCGTCCTGATCACCGCCATACCCCATACCAGCGACCTCATAACTGCCATACCCCAAACTAGAACCCTGATCACCTCCATACCCCATACCAGCGTCCTGATCACCGCCATACCCCATACCAGCGTCCTGATCACCGCCATACCCCATACCAGCGTCCTGATCACCGCCATACCCCATACCAGCGACCTCATAACTGCCATACCCCAAACTAGAACCCTGATCACCTCCATACCCCATACCAGCGTCCTGATCACCGCCATAAACCCCCATACCAGCGTCCTGATCACCGCCATACCCCATACCAGCGACCTCATAACTGCCATACCCCAAACTAGAACCCTGATCACCACCATACCCCATACCAGTGCCCTGATCACCTCCATACCCCATACCAGCGTCCTGATCACCTCCATACCCCATACCAGCACCCTGATCACCTCCATACCCCATACCAGCACCCTGATCACCTCCATACGCCATACCAGCACCCTGATCACCTCCATACCCCATACCAGCGTCCTGATCACCTCCATACCCCATACCAGCGTCCTGATCACCACCATACCCCATACCAGCAGCCTGATCACCACCATACCCCATACCAGCGTCCTGATCACCGCCATACCCCATACCAGCATCCTGATCACCGCCATACCCCATACCAGCGTAATGATCACTGCCGCTTCTCTATGCAATGCAGGCAGATCGTGGCTGGTGGGAGGGGCAAGCAGGGTGTTGTACATAGCTTCCCAAAAACATCACAGCCCCCTGCCTTAGTAATCCTCTCAAGAGACCTCAGCCCTGATGTAAGCAGTGGGCGGGATCTTGGGAGGAGTTATGCAAATATCAAAATGCCTTGATGGCGGGTGGCTGTCTAGAGGGGTGGGCGTTCCTAGGCAGGCTATATTTGCATAGGTAACACCCACATGTGATGCTGAACCTCCATGATTGAAAGAACTGAAATCCAATGAAGGAAAAGGGTGGGGCTAGAGACAGGCAGGCTGGGGAGGAAAGCGCTATATGATGCTGGGTGTCCTCCAGTCAGAAAAGGAGGTGGAGCTCTATCTGAATGGTTGCAGCTTCTAATGCACATTGTGAGAAGCTCTCAGTGTGCGGTGACATCAGAGGAAGCCATTTCAGTCCAGGAGAGGAGCCGGTACACCTGTGCAAGACTGAAGTGGAGGAGCCGGTACACCTGTGCAAGACTGAAGGGGAGGAGCCATTACACCTGCGCAAGACTGAAGGGGAGGAGCCGGTACACCTGCGCAAGACTGAAGGGAGGAGCCATTACGCCTGCACAAGACTGAAGGGGAGGAGCCGGTACACCTGTGCAAGAATGAAGGGGAGGAGCAGGTACACCTGTGCAAGACTGAAGGGGAGGAGCCGGTACACCTGTGCAAGAATGAAGGGGAGGAGCCGATACACCTGTGCAAGACTGAAGGGGAGGAGCCAGTACACCTGTAAAAGAATGAAAGGGAGGAGCCGATACACCTGTGCAAGAATGAAGGGGAGGAGCCGGTACACCTGTGCAAGACTGAAGGGGAGGAGCCAGTACACCTGTGCAAGACTGAAGGGGAGGAGCCAGTACACCTGTGCAAGACTGAAGGGGAGGAGCCAATACACCTGTGCAAGACTGAAGGGGAGGAGCTGATACACCTGTGCAAGACTGAAGGGGAGGAGCTGGTACACCTGTGCAAGACTGAAGGGGAGGAGTCGGTACACCTGTGGAAGACTGAAGAGGAGGAGCCAGTACACCTGTGCAAGACTGAAGGGGAGGAGCCGGTACACCTGTGCAAGACTGAAGGGGAGGAGCCATTACACCTGTGCAAGGGAGGAGCTGGAGGTCAGACTGAGGCATAGCCAGGTAGAGGTACAATTTGTAACAATTATTTGCTGTCTGTGAATTCCTGTCCTGGTGACAATCCCTCCCCCATTTTCTGTATTGGGGTCATAGGCACAGGAAGTGAGGGGAGATGTCCCCCAATGGTGTCACAGACAGAAAGTGTAACTCTTCCCCACTCTATCCAAAACTGAAAAATAAATCTGGATGTGTAGAAATGTAAGGAGCGGGTGGAAGGTGAGGATCAGGCCGCGCGGCGGGACGTTCGCTCTGCGTCTCTGTATGGTGGAATAGAACCCTCCGTGTGTACGCCGCGCTCCGTCTCTTTACCTCTCCCGGGGTGATCGGCCCCTCCCGGCCCCCACAGTTCTCAGTCGCCAGCAGCCAATAGTCTGTTCCGAAGGCCACGAGGAACAGGAGGACCCCGACTCCTCCGATCAATCCGGCGAAGAGCGCGGCGATCCCGACCTTCATCCTGCCAGCCAGCGAGGAGACTGAGAGCCGAGAGGGACAGATGCAGAGGGGGCGCCGGGCGGCACACGGGGCGGCTGCTATTTTGGGCTGCAGCTGCAGCTTAATGAGGGGTGTGAGTTTCTGAGAGCCGCGGAACACGGACTATTCTGAGCACATGACCTTACCGCACGCAACAGTTGTGGCTGGACGCAGGAATGTCAGCAAACACTGGAGAACACCCAGCCCAGGGGGACCCGGGGGGGGGGGGGGGACAGAGAGAAGAGACAGACAGACCGACTGACCTGGGGGGGACCAGGGGCGGACTGACAACTCATGGGGCCCCTAGGCAATAGGGGATCATGGGGCCCCTGTGTCCTCGCCCACACTCAAATTACACCCAAAAAACCCTATGAAAGGTACCAGGGGCATCTCATGGGGCCCCCTACTGACCCCGGGCCCTCAGGCAGTGCCCAAGTTCCCAAATGCTCAGTCTGCCCCTGGGGGGGACAGAGAGAAGAGACAGACAGACCGACCGACCTGGGGGGGACCAGGGGCGGACTGACAACTCATGGGGCCCCTAGGCAATAGGGGATCATGGGGCCCCTGTGTCCTCGCCCACAATCAAATTACACCCAAAAAAGCCTATGAAAGGTACCAGGGGCATCTCATGGGGCCCCTACTGACCCCGGGCCCTCAGGCAGTGCCCAAGTTTCCAATTGCTCAGTCTGCCCCTGGGGGGGGACAGAGAGAAGAGACAGACAGATCGACCTGGGGGGGGGGGCAAAGAGAAGAGACAGACAGACCGACCGACCTGGGGGGGGGGGACACAGAGAGGAGAGACAGACAGACCGACCTGGGGGGGGGGGGGGGGGGAAGAGAGAAGAGACAGACAGACTGACCGGGGGGGGGGGCAGAGAGAAGAGACAGACAGACCGACCTGGGGGGGGGGGGGGAAGAGAGAAGAGACAGACAGGCCGACCTGGGGGGGGGGGGGGGGGCAGAGAGAAGAGGCAGGTAGACCAACCTGGGGGGGGGGGGGCAGAGAGAAGAGACAGACAGACAGGGCCGACCTGGGGGGGGGGGGGGGGCAGAGAGAAGAGACAGACAGATGATCTGATGGGGGTCTGTGATATATATATATATATATACAGTATCTACCAGAAGTGAGTCCCCCCTCCCCGGGACTGTATACAATGTATATATATATATCCTTTAGATTGTAAGCTCCATGAGCCCTCCTATTCCTTCTGCACTGAAATGTATTGTAATTGTACTGTCTCCCTTATATTGTACAGCGCTGCGCAAACTGTTGGCGCCATAAATCCTGTATAATAATAATATATATCTAGCATCTCCCAGAAGTGAGCCCCCCCTCCCCCGGACTGTATACAATGTCTCCCCCTCACATTTGTGTAAATATTTGATTCTATCTTTTCATGTGACAACACTGAAGAAATGACACTTTGCTACAATGTGACGTAGTCAGTGTACAGTTTGTATAACATGGAAATTTGCTGTCCCCTCAAAATAACTCAACACACCGCCATTAATGTCTAAACCGCTGGCAACAAAAGTGACTCCACCCCCCTAAGTGTCAAGGTCCACATTGGGCTCAAAGTGTCAATATTTTGTGTGGCCGCCATTATTTTCCCAGCACTGCCTTAATCCTCTTGGGCATGGAGGTCACCAGAGCTTCACAGGTTGCCACTGGAGTCCTCTTCCTCTCCTCCATGACGTCATCACGGGGCTGGTGGATGTTAGAGACCTTTAGGTCTGGAGACATGCTTGGCCAGTCCATCACCTTCACCCTCAGCTTCTGTAGTAAGGCAGTGGTGGTCTTGGAGGTGTGTTTGGGGTCGTTATGTTGGAATGCTGCCCTGCGGCCCAGTCTCTGGGGGGAGGGGATCATGCTCTGCTTCAGTATGTCACAGTACATGTTGGCATTCCTGGTTCCCTCAATGAACTGTAGCCTCCCAGTGCCGGCAGCACTCATGCAGCCCCAGACCATGACACCCCCACCACCATGGGGCCCCAGACCATGACACTCCCACCACCATGGGGCCCCAGACCATGACACTCCCACCACCATGGGGCCCCAGACCATGACACTCCCACCACCATGGGGTCCCAGACCATGATACTCCCACCACCATGCAGCCCCAGACCATGACACTCCCACCCCCACCACCATGCGGCCCCAGACCATGACACTCCCACCGCCATGGGGCCCCAGACCATGACACTCCAACCGCCATGGGGCCCCAGACCATGACACTCCCACCGCCATGGGGCTCCAGACCATGACACTCCCACCGCCATGGGGCTCCAGACCATGACACTCCCACCACCATGCGGCCCCAGACCATGACACTCCCACCGCCATGCGGCCCCAGACCATGACACTCCCACCGCCATGGGGCCCCAGACCATGACACTCCCACCGCCATGGGGCCCCAGACCATGACACTCCCACCGCCATGGGGCTCCAAACCATGACACTCCCACCGCCATGGGGCTCCAGACCATGACACTCCCCCACCATGGGGCCCCAGACCATGACACTCCCACCACCATGGGGCCCCAGACCATGACACTCCCACCACCATGGGGCCCCAGACCATGACACTCCCACCACCATGGGGCTCCAAACCATGACACTCCCACCACCATGCTTGACTGTAGGCAAAACACACTTGTCTTTGTACTCCTCACCTGGTTGCCGCCACACACGCCTGACACCATCTAAACCCAATCAGTTGATGTTGGTGTCATCAGACCACAGGAGACGGTTCCAGTAATCCATGTCCTCAGTCTGCTTGTCTTCAGCAAACTGTTTCTTGGTCATCATCTTTAGAAGAGGCTTCCTTCTGGGACGACAGCCATGCAGACCAATGTGATGCAGTGTGCGGCGTATGGTCTGAGCACTGATAGGCGTGTAAGCCGTGTACCGGGGGGGGGGCTCCCCAGGATACAGTGAAGTCACGGACGAGGAAACAACCCCAACACCAGCTTTTGTCACAACAGAATGTTACTTAGAGGTGGCAAATAAACACAACCACAAATGCTGGGAACATACAATAAATTTACATCCACCCAGCCCAAAGGCTGAGACCCTTGTGCTGCACAGCACGGCGCCCTCTGATGGATGAAGGTAGAAGGTGCAGTAATTTACCTACTGGGGGGCACAACTAAGCTGCCACACCTTACCTGTTATTACCCTACAGAGCAGGAATCAGTGTATGGGGGTACGGTATGGGCTAGCCTGCGGTGCAGCACAACAGCTTACAATCTTACACAGATCTACAGTATTCCCCCCCCCCATAACTGGTCCTGTAGCACGTGCCTGAGTATTCCTTCTGAGCAACACGCCAGTCTGGGGTGAGTTGGTAGGATTTTATTAGCTCTCCAATGTGAAATGTCTCTTTAAGTTGTGGAGTCCTTCCAATAATCAGTAACAACACTTGTGGCCTGACACAAACAGAGACCCTAACTAACTATAGGCTTGGACTCAGTCTCAAGGCGCCAACACTGAAATGAGGTGCGTGTACGATCTTACCGACCCGGGTCTGCTTTGCATCCACTGGTGACTCTGAACAGAACAAAAGTCTCTCCAACAAGTATGCGGTCTCACCGTATATGTTGCTTAGTTCCTCTGCTCTCATCAGCCTTCCTGGCAGCAATCTCATCAGCTTCACTCACCTGCAGCTCTGGTTACTGAGGGAAGCTTTCACACCTGGATGTCATCAGATTCTCAGCTCACAGGGCCCCCTATTCACCATGCTCCAAAACATGGTTTCCCTCTCTCTCCTTCCTGTTCTCTCCAGCTCTGTGTGCAAAACCCCACCTCTTCATGAATATACAAATACCTATGCAGTCTGAGGCTGTGCTAGAAAAACAGTGACATCTTGTGTCTAAACCACAGAATGTCAGTCAAAACATTAATTTACTTCCACACAAACAGTGTTCAAACAATGAGAGCTGTTTCCCCATCTCACAGGCTGACCCCTCCCCACCCCTTCACCCTCTGCAGCAATGCTGGCCCCACTGACAGGCTGACCCCCCCCCCCCCACCCCTTCACCTTCTGCAGCAATGCCGGCAGCATTCATACGTCTATTTCCCAAAGACAACCTCTGGATATGACGCTGAGCACGTGCACTCAACTTCCTTGGTGGACCATGGCAATGCCTGTTCTGAGTGGAACCCGTCCTGTTAAACCGTTGTATGGTCTTGGCCAGGGGCGGACTGACCATTTGGAAACTCGGGCTCTACCCGAGGGCCCGGGGTCAGTAGGAGGCCCCATGAGATGCCCCTGGTACCTTTTTCATAGGCTTTTTTGAGTTTGGGCAAGGACACAGGGGCCCCATGATCCCCTATTGCCCGGGGGCCCCATGAGTTGTCAGTCCGCCCCTGGTCTTGGCCACCATGCTGCAGCTCAGTTTCAGGGTCTTGGCAATCTTCTTGTAGCCTCGGCCATCTTTATGTAGAGCAACAATTCTTTCCTTCACATCCTCAGAGAGTTCTTAGCCATGAGGTGCCATGCTGAACTTCCAGTGACCAGTATGAGAGAGTGAGAGGGATAACACCAAATGTAACCCCCCCCCCCGCTCCCCATTCACACCTGACACCTTGAGGGGTGAGGATGAGGGCTGATTAGGGTTAACGTATAACTAAAGACGAAGCTTTTATTCCCAGTGTTGGGTGGAGAGGGGATTTCCTGACCTGAGGTGGTATCAGCCCTGATAATGAACTCCTATTTGCTCGACTTCCGTCTGCTAAATGTCCCATTGAAAGTGTTTTGCTCGATCTATTGATCCTGCCAGAAATCCTGTGAGCGGATATCTTCCTGTGCTCTCTGCCTGTGCTGCACTCTTGCGATTTCTATACAGAACACTATGGAGATAAGGAGAATGGGCACGGCGGGTGGACAGACCCGGGAACTCAGCACAGGGATGGTGGGAACCCCTCATAATGGGCACGGCGGGTGTACAGACCCAGGAACTCAGCACAGGGATGGTGGGAA